TCAGATGTGGGAGATTTAGGTCCAAGTTCCTTCTTTGAATGATTTTTCTTTGACTACTGCCTTATAACAAAATGTATTAGTCTAAACTAATTATTTCATTTCTTCCCAAATAGTGCTGCTGTTGTTGCTGCTCCCCAAGTAGGCTGGGTTTAGATTGAATATGAAATGATATTTTTCATTTTTTGGAATCATCAGTGACCTGAAGAGTCATTTGTCCCTAAAGCACTAATAACAGGCAACAGTTTGTTGTGACAGAGGGAGTTAGTGTATTTAGAGATCAAAAAGATTAGTGTTGGGAGTAAATAAATTATTATAACAAGTGTCGCCAAGTATGATGCATTGAGATTAATTTTAGAAATAGCCGCCGCCGTCGCCGCCTTCTCAGTTCAAGAAATGTATTTCAAGTGAAATCTAATGAACATCTTGCAGTTGGTGCAGGCATCTTTTAAATGTTAGCATCTTAAGAATCATATCAAGGGGCTGAGGCGTCCAAGTGACCAAGCCCATAATGAGAAGTAGCAAATATACTCAGCTCTGCAAAGGTTGTCAAGGCTTATTGTTATCTTCAGCTGTAAATAAGCCAAAACAAGTACTCAGATGTCTGGCAGATTATGACACCATTAACCAAACTGTGGCCTGCAAGAGGACCAGCTGCAAAGGCCAGAGTTTCCTACGATGGTATTGGAAGAATCACAGAATCACAGAATGGTTTAGGTTGGAAGGGACCTCTGGAGATCATCTAGTCCAACCTCCCTGCTCAAGCAGGGTCACCTAGAGCATATTGCCCAGGATCACATCCAGACGGGTTTTGAATATCTCCAGCCAAGGAGACTCCACCACCTCTCTGGGCAACCTGTTCCAATGCTCTGTCACCCTCACAGATAGAAGATAGAATGTGTGGTGTTTTCAATTACAAGTTTGATTATAAGGGTCCCTGGTCATCAGTGGTGGAGAAATTTTGACAGTGTAGACTTTTGTTACAAAGTATTTGGGAGTCACAGCCCGAAACAATCCCCTACTTCCAGGAACAGTTCTCAAAAGAATGGGAACATGAAACTGCTTGTTACTTCATAAACTTAGGTTGGCCATCAGAGATAGGGATTGTGTAAATAAACTGACTGTTGTTGATTTTTGCTTTTTCCAATCTAGCTGGATGCTGAGAAGGCAAAATTAAAACTGGAAAGTTGGGCTCCCCGAGATGCTGGCAGTGGGGGTGGAAGAAGTGAAGAGGCAGAGTCAAGCGGAGATTGTGATGATGAGGATGGCTGTCAAGGATCTGGTGACAGGATTCACTCAGCAGGTAAATCCAGTTTTATAGACACATACAGAACTTAGAAATTCATATATATCACAGTTAGGTGGACAGAGATAAGACTTGCACGACTTGAATTCCTGTCAAAATCCTATTAAATTCAGAGGATTCAAATCTTAATCTGTGAAGAGCTGCAGTAAAAATAGAAGGATACAGACAGTTACCCAATATAATTTAGCACTTGGCATGCAGATAAAAGACTTAAATTTAGATTGAATAATATCTACAAGGAAATCTAGATCACAGAAATACTGGAAGACCCTTTCTGAATTATACAGGCTCTTCAAATAAATAGAGAATTAATGTCCTCGTAGACTGTGCTAAGTGATGACGTAAATGTTGGTTGCATAATGATGCTGAAGGATGATCCAAACAGTTTGCTTCTGAAAGTATATATTCTTGAAAAAACACATAAAGTATTATTTCTTTTCTATTAGAGAGATGCTGGATAAAGATGATCCTGACTTAAAATTTCTGATATTATCAGATGCATATTCTGAAGTATTTATTCATAAAATTACTTGACTGATATGTCACCAAGCAAAGAATTAGCATCAGAACCTAACCTAAGTTCCTCCAAAGTGCTGGCAGTTTAATAGGTAATTAAATACTTTAAAATTTAAGTACTTTAGTAAGAAGTAAGATATTTTCTTCCAAAAAGTGGACATATTTGGTTTATCATATCTGGAAGTTCTGATTCATTTCAGCCCATCAAAATGTAACTGCATTAATTACCAAGTATGTGTGTGGATGCAGATGTGTATGTATGTATGTGTGAATGTACTTTGGTCTGGATATGCAAGTGTTTAAAATATGGGCATATTAGCAACATGAAAAATGAGAAATGCACTAACCTTTGGCGCTGGTGGATATTTATTTTGAAAAATAATGCTGGTTAAGATGGCCTAGAACCCAGTTAGGTAATTTTTAAACTGCTGCTTCCATTCAGCTGAGATAAACAAGTACTTCTTCCTTTTCCCTTTCCCACTAAGTGAACAGTAGGAAGAAGTATCCCATATTCAGGTAACATTTGCAAGCAAGCTTTGATTAGGCTGTATTCAAGGCTTCAGTTGTTCGCTTATTATTAAGGAAAACTGAGCTTAAACGTGTTTTGAAAATATGTGCAAAATATTAATTCTGGTTTGCAGTATCGGGGTATAAATATCCGAAATTTAATTTGTGTTTATGAACTGTAGAATCAAGAGTTATCATCACAGAGACTTTTAAAAAAATTTTTTTAAATTATTTAAATAATTTATTTTAGCACATTTTTGAAAAAAATATTAAATAATTGCAAATAAATGATTAAGTAGAGATTTGCACAGTCTACTCACCAATATTTTTGAACAGAAGTGAAGAACTGATGCCATGTTTTTTTTAAAAACCATCTACTTAAAATTTTTTTCATTGTTTGTTGTATTCTATACATAACCAATGGAAAGACTGCTAGATGCCCTGAGGCTGTGTGAGTGTGAATACTTTTAAAGTAGTATGTTTTCTTCTCCGTGTGATATAATGCAAACAAAAGCCAGGTGCTAACTAGTCTTCAATGAACAACTATACTATTAATATACTATTTTGGGGAGGATGTGTATGCATGCATACAATGGCAAATTTCAGATGTTCAAAAATAAAAACCTGAAAGCTTTCAAGACTAGGCTCACAGTTGGCTTTAATGATGGTAAATAAGGAAACTACTTACATGTTTCTTTTTTCCTTGTTTACAGTCTGCTTCAATAAAATATTTTATGCTGATATCATCCTGAATTTAAAAGAATTATATTTTCATAACTAGCTGTTTCAGTGGTTTAGTAGGGTTTATATCCAGTTTTAAAAGTACTTACAATTAATTTTAGAAAATAATATTGATTCATAGCAGTAAGAATAAATATTTCATCTGGTGACAATTGTAATGCTGTTTCATAATTAGCTTTAAAATGTTGTACTATTTGCAAGCCACTAGCAGTAAATCTGTTTTGCATATCTGGATGCAATTAAGATATAAAATGGGATAATCTCATTATAGAACTTCTTTGTTTTAATAGAATGTTAAAGAAATAAACATCTGTTTAGTTGAATTTCCTGTTGCTGCATGTCTGTAAGAGGGTGTTTCTAATTGTACAGCCCATGAATTTTTTTATATTTTGTAAACTTAAAACCCCGCAAGTGCAACTGGCCATCGTTTTGTAGAAATGGAACATGACAACATTGACTAGTCCTTGCTTGCTTCACACAGTGAACTGAGACATGAATTGAAGCTAAGAGCTAAATCTCAAATAAAAGCCTGATCTGAAGCTCAGGAAAGTCAGTGGGGATATTCTTACCGACTACAGCAGGTTTGGATGAGACATAAATGATAGCTTTAAAATGCCACCAATCTCATCAGTGAATGTTGTAGCATGCAGTCATATGGCAGGAAAAAAGGAGTAGAAACCCTTTCAAAACATAGACTTTTTGGCAGCGCAGTCATGTTTTTAACAACAGGTCCACGGAAAAGAGGAAAAAAAAAAAAGGATTTAAGTCACAACCTCTAAAATACTGATTTTAAAATCTAGTGGAAAGTTTAATACATCTGTCATTTATTTGAAACCTATATGAAAATGAGATTTACGTTTTGTGTGTTCAGAGTACTGCTCTGTGCACTGCAAAACACTCATATTGCTTTTAAATAGTTTCTGCAAACCTACTGAATACTCATTCGTTCCCCTCCCCCCACAACACTGCCATTTCTTCAACCCTGAATTGCCAAAATACAGGAGTTTCACCAGTAGCTAGGTTACCGTCTTCAAAATATTTCTGTTTGGAACTGTTAAAAGTTCCCCTTTGACAAGGCACATGGCCCCCTCCCCAGTTTGCTAACAGAGGGTTTGGCTTCTAGGTTTTAGATTTCAGTGCCTACCAGGCTGGTTAGCCCAGGGGAGGTTCTGTGCTTGTGTGTTCCAGCTAGGTCCCGTGTATGTATCCTTCTCCCCGCTGCCCCCACCCTTTTTTTTTTTTTTGGTCTGGGATTGCTATCTTTATATCTCAGCTCATCTATCAATGGATATTAAAATCCTGTCGTTTTTGTTTGTCACCTTGTAGCCGTTGAGAATCTGTGTTGCGTGTCAGTTGATTGTTCTTTTTATTCTCTTCAGTTAAGATATGTGACTGTCTATTATTTAGGTTTTTTTTTAACCTTTGTTACAAATAAGTCTTTCCTAGCCAAATCCATTATTAGCTAAAAAGATTACTGCCTACTCTTTCGTAATCTGATTAATTATACATTCTGTATCAGGTGTTTAGCCAAATGATTTCATACAAACAAGATAAACTAATTCTCAGGAAACCAGCCTAATGTCATATTTTTTCAGGTCTTCCCGATTACCACACGTATCCCTTCTTGGGGAAATCTGTGGAGACAGCAGTGTTTCTCAAGTAGATCCATGTGTTATTTGTTGGCAAGTATCAACTTTTAAATGACAGCATCTGTTAATCATCTTTGAACAAAGCTTTGTTAGGAAGAATTAAGAAGAGGAAAGCAAACCATATAAATTTTGAACACAGATGGGAAGGTTCCTCTAATTTGGATTGCTTCAGTCCTGCAGGTTTCTAGGCAAAGTGCAAAGCAGCATCTCGGTCTGAACCTTGCTTAGCACTGCGTGACCACATCAACATACTCTTTTGTGAATTTCAGTCACAAGAAGAATCCACTGATTTCAGCGCTCTTTGTTTAACCTCACTGGACTGTGAAGGGTGATGGTGGTGTGGAGATGAGCAAGGATTGCTCAGCACCTTGCAGGATTGAGCCGCAGGAATTTTACTAGGAGAGGGATCAGCACGTTGCAGTTTGTGAAAAGGCAGAACAGTGACAGATTCACACTGTGTCCTTGCCTCTCCTCTGTTTCAAGAAAAGGAAAACAAATGTTTCAGTCTGTTCAGGGAGAAGTGGGCAGTAAGTCAGTGCAGTGTATTTCCCGTTTGCAGCTGTGCTGCACAGCTGTATGTTGGGATGAGGCCCCACCCAGGCAGAGACAACCAGCATGTAACAGTGCCAAGGTCTGTTCTGCCTTACTCCTGGACAAGCCCAACACAGGCATTAGATCTCTTTTCAGGGCAATCATCAGTTGGTTATCCGTTAAGCAGAGTTTTGACCACATGCAGGGACCTGGTTCAAGCACAACCCCAAAGTCACCTATGTACAGCTCCAGACTTTGTGCAAGTTCTGGAGCATTATGTTGAAGAAAGCTCATGTTGACACTACCTCTTGGCATGGGTTTATATGCACAGTTATCAGCAGTGTGGATGGGAAGGACACAGGTATTACTGCAGTAGCTCAGCTAGCATGTTATCACTACACTTTATATGAAGCAGTATGCTAGTATCACATATCCAGTTAATCCAAGCTTTTTTCTAGAAGATCCCAAGATAGCGTGGAGTGAAGTCACATGGGATGTAGAGTGCTGAACTACAGCTGTCCTCGTGTTGGCAAGGTAGACAAACATTTTAGGTTAAGGAAAATATATATTTTAGCCTATCCTTGGGCCCATCCTCCTCTGAACAGAATAGACAAAGTCAAAATGTATCCATGAATTGCAGTCTTTGCATCAGATTCACCCCTCCCTGGGAATCATCTATATATGGATCCAAAAAACTCAGCTCTCAGGGCATGTTAATTCCACCCCTTCTGACATGCCTTGAAATTTGCGATCTCTGGGAAACAGAGACCTGGCTTATACCTGTCCCTTGACTGGCTGCGTGCTCTGGGCAGAGCTGGGCTTCTGCTGGGTTCCCCTTCCAACAGCAATGGGTTTGCCTGCAGGAACCAGGGGAAGTGCCTGAGCAGTGCTGACCCTTAGCCATGGCTAATTTTCAGCAACACGCTAAAATGGTATCTGACAGAGAAGGCATTCAGTAAACAGACACATCCGGTGACATCTCAGGCAGGCTTTGAGCACTGGAAAGTGAGCACAGACTGGAAAGTGTCAAATGTGCTTTATTACTGTGATTTT